AGCAAATATTTTTATATGGATAGTACGAGATACTAATGGTGATAGGGTTGGTAATCCTGTATCTTATAATCAGTCTAGTAATGTTGGTAATACCAGTTCTATTGCGGGTGGTCAGTTCAATACTGTCTTGATTAATGGTACCAATCCACTTGGTGCTAATATAACATTCACTCCTACTTTAAGTACGAATAATTATACTGTCCAATGTGGGGATGCTAGTGGTACATTAGTGAACTGTTCTATAGTAATAGCAGGTATGTCATACTATCATGAATAAGATACTTCTTACTACTTGTTTTTACTTAGGCATTCCAACTCCTGTTATAAATGGTGCTATCGCCTATGGACCACTTGTCTCTACCTATATGCGTTATAACTGGGTTTCATCCATGAGTCCTTGTTTATCTCACTATGTTTTTGTTGCTAGATCTACTAGTTCAATAGATGACATTAATTATTATAATGTTAGCACTAGTAGTAGTACTTACACGTACCTGGACTTACCTCTACCATCAACTAATAATACAGTATATAACTTTAGTGTATTAACTGTTGATACTGGTGGTAGATCTAGTGAGTCTATAATACGTCAAATTATATTTAATGGTAAGCAGTAGCTTATAATGTAATATAAATTAATATTTTATGTTATTAATTATTTTTAGTTCCTGGTTATGTTGCTAATCTGATGTTAACACAAACTGATTATCCAACTGATACTAATGATACTGTTAATATCACTGTATCATGGAATCTAGTAATTGATTGTATTGTTATAATGATTATTTATTATTATCATAGCAATCACCTTCGTCGCCAATTCCTTATCCACTTTTCTATTATATCATATATAATGTTTCTGATGTACCTCAAAATACTACAGTACCACAACATATTTCTTCAAGGACTCTATCTGGTTTTACAGTAGGATCAGAATATACTGTTGGAGTAGCTGCTGTTAATCCATTAGGAACTGGTCCTACCACATCAGCTACAATAAGTTAGTTATTATTTTACCGTAAATATAAATATATAATAT